TTGGAGTTCTCCTCCTCTCTGAGTGTTGCTTGCTCCTTCTGGATCAGTCTGTTTCCCGCAAAACTACTGTTAAGAGAATAGAAGATCTGAAAATAGAAGATCTGAGAATAGAAAATCCAAAAGCAAAACTTTATGGAAATCTAGTATACCTCAAATCTCTGGGAAAACAATAGACGGTAATCTAGCCACTGGGGGGAAAAAAAAAAGAACAGTGGATAAAAATCATATACTGTACCAGAATAAACTCCAGAAATCAAAAAGTTCAGAGAGATGGAAGAAGAAAGCAGCGTAAAGAAATATAAATGTAGAAGAGGGGATAAAAGGGAGAGGGGAGGGGAGAGGTCCTATAAGCACCAGCAGCAAACACAGGAAAATCCCTTTACAACCTGAGTGTGAGGGGAGAACTCTGGCTGAAAATCCAAAAGCAATTTTTTTTAAATGACCAATAAATTCAATACCCAAAACCCAAATTTTTGTATATCATATAAATGCCATAAGCAAAGTAAAAAAAAAAAGATGATGAATTGTAAAAACAAAGAAAAACAATTCTCAATTTATTTTAGAAACAAGGAGCTAATCTCTCTAATACATGGGGAGAACTCAGATTAGAATGAACAAACTACTCATTAGAAAAACAGGCAAAAGTCACAGGCAGAATACAAAAGGAAGGCAAATGGCTCTTAAATACAAAAGATGTTCAGCCTCATTTGTAGAAGAGATGCCTACATCAAGATACTATATCTCATTTAACACATTAGACAAAACTTAAATATTTCCCTGGCAAATGATTCAAATGTTTGAAAACAGACTGTCTTGACAAGGCCACAAAACAAACAAACAAAGAAGCCAGCAACACATGCCTGGAATCCCAGCCACTGGAGAGGGTGAGGTAGGAGGATCACAAGTTGGAGACCAACCTCAGCAATTTAGAAAGCCCTATCTCAAAATATAAAAAGAGGTAGGAGGTGTAGCTCAATCGTAGAGTGCCGTGGATTTATATCCACATGTGCACATGTGCATATGTGCTAGTGACTGAAACCAGGGACATTTTACAACTGGGCTATACCTCCAGTTTTTGAAACAGGGTCTCATTAAGTTGCTTAGGGCTTCCTTAAGTTGCTGAGGATAAACTTGAACTTACCATTCTTCTGCCTCAGCCTCCTGACTCTCTGGGATTACAGGTATGCACCACCGCACCTGACTAAGGGACTCTTTTCTACAATGCTGATGGGAGTGGAAAATGATAATCCCTATGGGTCTTTTTAAAAAATATTTTATTTTATTTTTTTTAGCTGTAGTTGACACAATACCTTTATTTTACTTATTTATTTATTTATTTTTCCTGAACCTGAGAATCGAACCCAGGGCCTCACACACGCTAGGCAAGCACTTTACTGCGGAACCACGACCCAAGCCCTCCATGGGTCTTTGACAAAATATATCAAATATGTATGTTTTTACCTTTTGGACTATGACTTTCAAAAACAGAGAAAAAGAAATCATTTGCTAGCATTGTAAATTATCATTACATCAGTTTCTCTACTTAGATACACAGTAATTAAGGTAATTAAGCCTATACTCTGCTCCTTCTTTTATACCCCAGTACTGCGAATGGAAACCAAGAGTGCTCTACTGCTGAGCCACACACCAAGCCCTTTCTAGTTTTTATTTTTTTAATTTCAAGACAGTCTCACTGAGTTGCCCAGGCTGCTTTAACTTGTGATCCTTCTGCCTCAGCCACCAGGACTGGATCTGTACCCTGACTTTTTGAAAGAATCTATATTTTATTCCATTGTCAAGGGAAACTTCTGTACAAAGGAATATCAGCGGATAAATGGTTCAGAAAAAAAAAATGGTAAAGCAAATAGGTAAAAATGCTGTAATTACTGCATCTGGATAGCAGGTATACACAGACATTCATTTTGCCAATCTTTCAACTATTCTGTAAATTTGAAATTTCTATAAATTTTTCGTCATAAACAGCTTTAGAAAAAACACAAACAAATTAAGAATGAAAACCTTTCAAAAATATTTGAAAATTTGGAATAATATAATCTGGAAAAGGGAACAGTGACCATTAATAATGAGGCTGGTTAAGAAAGAAAATTAAATGAAGGAACTTGCCTTCAGAATTCTCCATCCTCAATATTTTCAACTATAGCTTAAAATATAGGCAATCTGATTCTCTAGAAGCTCCCAATACCCTCCTCCTGATGTTTTTATTTGAATGCTCATTTCCTTTGTCCTAAAGTCCTATCTATAGCGGCTTTAATTATGTTCATAAATTCTTCAACATTCTTCCCTTCAAAAGATGGAGTCTAGCATGGCCCTTGAGTGCAAGCTAGATTTAGAAATTCACTTCTTCTTCTTCTTCTTCTTTTTTTTGTTGTATAATGAAGTCCACTTCCAGAGGCACCATCTGAGCTGAGTCCTTGTGTTCTTCTGGGGTCAGCCTTTCTCTTTTTTAAAATTTTTTATTTGTTTTAATTAGTTATACATGACAGTAGAATGCACTTATGTACTTTGATATATCACACATAGATGGGATATAATTTCTCATTTCTGAGTGTA